CCGCCTCCCCAAGCGCATGCTGTTAGGAGCGATGGCGGGGGGCGTGGGATACCGCGGCGGGCAGGAGAGCGACTGGGTGTCTCGTCTAGGGGAGAACCTCGTGGCCTTCAACATGGGAGACGAAAAGGAAGGGGGGTAAANGCGCCAAGGACCCGGAGGTGTGGTACAACAAGGTCGAGGACGGGGCGGCACGGTTCATGAGGAAATGGCACAGGTAGGAGGCGGAAGCGTCCGCGAAGCGCCAGCGCGCGAGGGAAGCAGAAGCAGAGAGTGCGGCCTCAGGACCGAAGAGAAAGAGAGCCGGGGAAGCGGCGATGGGGGGGAAGAAACGGCGACCGGGCACTGCTGTAGAAGCGAGTAGGGCGGCCGAGGCAGCGCTTGTGGCGAACTATGTACCCGGCTGATGTTGTTGCGCCCGGTTTCCCTCCCTGCTGTATGCTGTACTCCTTTATGTATGTCCTTTGTACGGTGGGGGGCCCGCTATAGTGCCGGGTAGTGTCCAGAGGGAAAAGCGGCACAATACCGGGTACCGGCAGTATTCAGAATAGTGCCTCAATAGTGCCGGTTCGGCATTATTGAGGGTTCGAATATACCTCAGTAGTGCCGGTCCGGCACTACTGAGGAGGCGGTGATTTCATGGTGCAGCGCTCAAGCTTTGCGGGGTCAACAGAGTACGATGTGGATCGTGGATCGAAAATGAGTGTAGGATTACTGGACGTCTAAGTCCTCGTTGCCCTCCTTCGATGTTGCCCGATAAAAAAAGACAACAGAGAGAAAGAACGACGACAGGAAGCGCACCGCACGAAAAANTAAGTCCTCGTTGCCCTCCTTCGATGTTGCCCGATGAAAAAAGACAAGAGAGAGAAAGAACGACGACAGGAAGCGCACCGCACGAAAAAATGACGACCATTACTACTACCACAGCTGTTCTCCCCGCCCTCGCAACGTAGCAGCAACTCTCTCTCACGTGTGCCTGGCGCACCCCCTTGGATGTTACAAGAAGAAAAAAACAAAGAAAGGCACGACAGGAAGCGCACCGCACGAAAAAATGACGACCATTACTACTACCACAGCTGTTCTCCCCGCCCTCGCAACGTAGCAGCAACTCTCTCTCACGTGTGCCTGGCGCACCCCCTTGGATGTTACAAGAAGAAAAAAACAAAGAAAGGCACGACAGGAAGCGCACCGGAAGAAAAGGAAACAGCCATTGCTACATAGAACAACTGCACCCCTCAACCTTACTCCGTAGGAGCAACAAACTCTCTCATGTCTGCCTGGCGCACCCGCTTAGCGGAATGCGTTGCAATCATTGCCATCTTTGCTTTCGTTAGGAAGAACGCCGCGTCTCCGTTGCCACTCTCATCTGCTGTCGCTTCTAGGACGCTGAAGTGAGGCGACAGCAGGTGGAGCACCGCGCTCGGGCCTCGTGTTGTCATCGCCACTGCCCTCCTCTTAGTCCTCCTCCTCGCCGCCTGTTGTCACGTGCGTTCCAGCCAGCATTGCCGCCATTTCGTCCACTGCGTCCAGTCGAAGAGCCTCTGCCACCTCATCGTCGTCCTCGATGGTAGCCCACCCCTGAATGGCGCTCACCGCTTCTCCCTCGACCGGCTTTCCGGGTTCGATGTCGAGTTCTGCGAAGAGCTCGCTGATCTCCTCGTCTACGGTGCCGGCTCGCTGCTCGTGCGCGTCGCCGACGCTCGTGCTCATCTTGTTGACGGTCTCCGTGAGAGCCTTCAAGTCAGGTTCGGCGATGCTAAACCGGGTCTTTCCATGTTGTTTGGTGAGCTCAGCCGCCATCTCCGGAGGAAGCGTGTCGGCCTTGACAAAGCACCTGGTCCCAGGTAGCAGAAAATCCAATGCATCCGTTTTTGGGTGGACAAGCGAGGTTGGACGGGAGTGACGAAGAATGACTCATAGGAATGCGAGCGAGGACCCTTTCGTAGAACAGGAGAAATGGGCAAGTCCGGGTGCTGCAATACTCTGTTGAAAAAATAGGAAACCCATGCGAAACTATCCGTACAACCGTCCCCACGTATCGCACCACCAAAGCCACGCGCACTTGCGGGAGCTGAAAAAAACAGCAATACCACATGTTCAAACCTCACCTGGCGGTACCCTGGGCGGTGACGCTGGCCCATGCTTTCTCGAGAAGTTCAGCGGCGTCCCGCACGTGAGGTTGGTGCCCTTGCGCCAGTCCCATTGTCCCGGCCTTCATCTTGCGGGCTTTCGCCTGTGTGCGAAGTGTGTCAGCCACGAACATGGTTGAGGTCTTCACATCGATCAGCTCCTTCCTGTAGACGACTTTCGTCTTGGCGATGACCCCCAGATCCATAGGCTGGTGTACGGAGGTGCACAGCGGAGGGTAGGCCTTGGTGGTCACTTGCCCCCGGTCATCCACGAGATCAACGTGAGAGGAACAGCCGTCCATCAGCAGCAGCACAGGTTCGTGAGTGAAGCGCCGAACGAACGGGAGGAAGACTTCAAGCCACCACTTGAGGAACGTCGCAGAGTCGGACCACGCGTTGGCCTGCGAGAAGTACNGTACCCTGGGCGGTGACGCTGGCCCATGCTTTCTCGAGAAGTTCAGCGGCGTCCCGCACGTGAGGTTGGTGCCCTTGCGCCAGCCCCATTGTCCCGGCCTTCATCTTGCGGGCTTTCGCCTGGGCGCGAAGTGTGTCAGCCACGAACATGGTTGATATCTTCACATCGATCAGCTCCTTCCTGTAGACGACTTTCGTCTTGGCGATGACCCCCAGATCCATGGGCTAGTGTACGGAGGTGCACAGCGGAGGGTAGGCCTTGGTGGTCACTTGCCCCCGGTCATCCACGAGATCAACGTGAGAGGAACAGCCGTCCATCAGCAGCAGCACAGGTTCGTGAGTGCCGCTCCGAACGAAACGGGAGTAAGACTTCAAGTCACCACTTGAGGAACGTCGCAGAGTCGGACCACGCGTTAGCCTGCGAGAAGTACTTCAGAGGTGAACCCCCGTCCTTGAAGCAGCGGGGTTCCTTTGCCTTCCCGATGATGGCCCTGTCCACCTTCGCAGTGCCGTCGGCATTGCAGCACATGATGGTAGACAGTCGGTCCTTGAAGTACATGCTCTTTGAACCCCGCGCCGCCTTCCGATCCTCCGAGGTGGAAAGGTACGTGCGCCTGGGCAGGAGCTTCCACTGGAGGCCTGTCTCGTCGACGTTGAAGATGAACCTAGCCGGGTACTTCGCGCAAAGGGCCTTGATTTCGTCCATGCCCACCTTGACAGCCGCCCTGTCGACGCTATCAGCCTCGCCATGAAGTCGCACGCTGTGGATGTTGTTGCGCTTCACGAAGTTATTTGCACGTTTCTCGCCGGCCTTGAAGTCCTCGACCCTCGCCCTTACTGCTGCACAAGTTGCGGTGTCAGCCAGTAGGGTTGTCCTGNCTCTCGCCGGCCTTGAAGTCCTCTACCCTCGCCCTTACTGCTGCAGAAGTTACGGTGTCAGCCAGCAGGGTTGTCCTGGCGGAACGGCCGAAGCTTCGAAGGACATCGCGTGTGACGGGCATCTTGGCCTTCCGGGCTTTGGCGAGCAGATAAAGAGCTATCGCATCCACCTGCAGCCAAAAAACGAGTAAACAAGCAGAAGGTCTTACCATTAGTTTCGAACATTAGCATGCATCCTACACTGCGCGGCGCGGTCAGGCGGGACAACACAGCAGTCGTACCTTAAAGAGAGACAAAACAAAACACACAAAAAAACAGGAATTGATTATGTATATTATGTCTGCTGTACATATAATACGGAGTACATAAAAAAATAAGAATAGGAAAGACGCAAAGAGGGGGCCATCAACAGCGGACTAGCCACACAGAAGGAAAGGAGGATGAAAGCGGACATGCATGTGTGAGAAAACCGAGACAGACAAACAATGGACAGAAAAAACAAGAGAGACNCAGGAATTGATTATGTATATTATGTCTGCTGTACATATAATACGGAGTACATAAAAAAATAAGAATAGGAAAGACGCAAA